AAGAGGGAGCAGAGATATCAGAAGAAGCAGGTGTCAGAGAGGATTGGATCTAAACCACTTCTTCTGAACATGTCCAGAAGACTGTGTTCATAAGCTCACAGCAGCTGTGGCTCCATGGACAAGAATAAGCTGGCGACATACTAGCACGGAGGAGGAAGGGGTTTGCAAGCCCCTGACCCCTAACTAAGGAGCTATGAATAGCTGAGGGTTTCTGAGGGAGGAAGAGTCAGTTTTCCTTAAAGGTTGTGGCCAATGACAGATTAACCACGCTTCAGTGGATGGCCCCACACCCGGGACCGTATGAGAAGTACAAATCGGGTTTATAAAAGAAAGTAAGAGAATAAAAGACACAAAGTTCTGTGTGGAGGTGGAGAGTGGAGATATGGGAGGGGTGGGGGGTGAAAAGATTAAAATATATTGTATGGAATTCTCAAATCGGTAAAACATTACTCTTAGGAATAATTTTTCCCCTCTAAAAACTTCTTGTGTGATTGTACTTTCCATCCACAGAACCTTGCCTTGTGGCAGGGTTGGAATCTATGAGCCTTCACTACCACCCCTGTGAAGAATTTGATTTGAATTTGATTTTTGAGTCTGTGCTCAACAGGAGACGACCTCACCATAATTCACGATACCCTCTTACCACTCATCAAGAAGAAACTGCACAATGAATTCGAAGACAAAAGTAAAAAAAAAAAACCATTTTGTTAAAGATTTCCTATATACATATGTATCTATACATATATAGTATTTTATTTAAAATGTCATTGAGCATATACAGTTCTTGAGATTTTTTTTCCAGGGGACATTGCACCTAAATTTCAAAACACACAAAATATATCCCCTTTACTAAACAGGTTCTCATTTGGGGGGTTTACAAAAGTCAATGTTTCACAATCACGAGGCATAAAGGTACATGGTTCGGAAACCAATTTCCAGGCAGATTCCTCTCAATTCACTGTATGCAGAATAGTTTTTGGAAACCCAGGTCATCATATACATAATCTTACAAATGATCCTTACTAGGGGCCTCCCTGGGTTTCCAAAGAAACAAAGAAAATTAGAGGCAAATCAGGAATGAAGAAGTAACGGTAGGACCCGCTAAACACACACACAAGAAACTCTTCTAATGAGAGAGGGGCAACGGAGGACCCAGGTCCTCCATCTTCAGCACACGACAGCTGAACACAACAATACATTTACAGCCTTATTTGGTCACCTCGTACCTGGTTGATACATGAACAAAACTTCACCAAAGACATGGGAAAGAAATATTAAAGCTATTTACACAGATAACATTGTGGATTGGAAAGAACAGTACTCCTCCAATGGCATTCACATCTGACAGGGGCCTCGAGGATCCCAAAAGAAGTCAGGCTGTTCACGTAGCATCCTCTGAAAGTTCCTGTGCGCACGCGCATGCGCACGCGCACATAGCGCACGCAGGCACAGATACACACGCACATAATGCCACATTGCCACATAGCACCCGAAGTTTGTCCAGAGAGGTGGGCTGTGGTCTGCAGGCTGTAATACTTCTCTGTGCTCACAAGCCCTCACTTCTATGAGCTCCCAACACAAAATCCTGTCCTGTGGCTGAAGACTGCCCCACGACTCCGATAGATCTGGTAGGGTCAGGCTGTTTGTTCCTTGCATAGACAATTTCATTGCTTTCTCTAGTTGTCCTGGAAGCACCGACACACTGAAATTAGAATCACATCACAGCGTAGCGTACTCTGAAAAACATCAGAGGTCCTGGCTCACTTAAGAAAAGGCGACACCTTCGAATGAGTGCACACAACAGCATCTGCAACTGGCCACTTGCTCCCTCAAAAATACAGCAGATGAGAAAGGAGGTGGGGGGGGGGGGAGGGAGGAGGGAGCGGAAAACAAAACGTACTTTCCCAAAAGGATTCCAAACTAGTGTCCTGGGAGGACTGAACTCGCTGTCCAAACGGCCAACGTCTGGAGTGAAATTTGGCTCCTGAGGTTCTAAGTCTTGCTCAACTAAGGGCATGATTTCCCTCAAGAAAGAGACTTTCAGGGGAGAGTGGTAGGAAGACATGGCTGGCTTCATCTTTAGCCCCATGGAGGTAGGATGCTAAGAATTTAAAAATTTCAGCATTCCAAATCCTCCAAATCGGAATACTGTGAAAAATAGCCAAAACACTGACTTCTCCGGCTGGTCCCAGTCAGACAGCTGCCTATTGGTCCAACCCAACTTGTCACCCTCCTTCCCGGTCACAAAGGACAGCCGCTGACCATACACAACCCCAGCAGGCCCCTCCTGCATCTCTGCCTGCTGCCTGGTGGTGTTAGAGGAATAAAGCTTTAGCTGTCACTTAGGAAGACCAGGGTTCACACTCCTCAGGAAAGTGCCACCAGTCAGAAGAGCAGGCGCTGGCTGAGCAAGGAGATTTAGGGTTGAGGGAGCCTTTCATTAAAGGAAGTAGCCACACAACCCCCAAGACGCCCATAGAGACCTGACTAGGAAGTCAAATGCTTTTCATTACACAAGGCTTTCCTCTGAGGCGATTAGGGCAAACAGGTCCGGCTGGAAGTCAGACATACATGGTTTCTAAAAATGCAGTGAAATAAATTTTGCAGAATTCTGAGTGTGTGCTCCTTTGGCCTTCCTAGGAATCCTCCACGGGCCAACTTGCTACATAGACCCATCTTGTTCTGGGATGGGGTGATTTGGAGTCTGGGGGAACAATGAAGCGCACACAAAGTTAAGCCCAAAGCACAGAGCAATATCAGTGCTGGGGGGATCTGTCATGGGCGTTAACAAATCACTTTCCGCCTCTTGATTTATTCACTTCATTTGTAGTCTTCCTCCCACCCCCCACCCCCCAACACAAACAGGGCTTTAGCCTGTGACTGATACCTTTCCACACAGCGGCCTCATGAAGAGAACTCCTGGATACCTTTCCAACTAAAACCAGCAGGACTCCAGGTTTTAGGATAATTTGAATTTGGGTTTTTCAGGTTTGGTTTGGTTTTGCTGATATGTAGCTTGACAGTAAATGAATTGGGAGAATGTTGTCACGGCACCCACAAGATATTTACACTCCAATTCTGACTCTGGTGGATTCAATGTGGTCGAAGAAGGTCAGGGTGAGATTCAGGGAGATCAGAAAAGCAAAAATAGGAAAGGCATCGGGAACCCAGAAATGCTCCCCCAAAATGGCGGCTCAGGTCCTCTGTAGATTGTAGAACCTTCTCAAGTTTCCTGTTTGCTCGTGACTTTGAGAACTGGGCACAGGTGGGAAGAGGACCGCGATGCTGTAGCTTGCCTCAACAGTTTTCTACAGCATCCTATACTGCTCGGGAAGCAAATGGTTGTCACAGAACACTCCTCACAGAGGTGTCTGGGGTGGGTGATGACTTCCTGAAGGAGAGGCATACAGGGTCAGATGACCATGTTTCTGACACAGCCACAGCCCAGTCTTCAGGCAATGAGTTGGCACACACTCACAGTATGTCGCCTGCCAGGCTGGGCCCTGGCTCTACACAGTGGGGTGACTTTGTTCCTGAGTGGGAATGGCACCAGGCCTTTCCTAAGAAAAATATCTACAATTCTAGGAATGTGGATGGCTTACCAGCCTGGAGGAAGTGCCCCTCCCTCTCCCCTGGGAAGGAATTCTCATAAACACAGAGCTGGGATTGCCTCTCCAGCATCTTAGGGGAAACGACACCATTGGTTCCTTTCTTGGGTTGGAAATGTCTGAATTTACACCAAGTTGTCAGAAAGCTGATATCCCGGAAGGAACAGGACTGAGCAACTGGATGCTGCCCTGAAGGCTCCTGGGCAGAGCAGCAGCCTGCCCAAGAGACAGGTGATTTTTAAACAGACTGTGCTGTTCTTCCCTGCAAGGAAGCAGGAGGCACTACGCCCACGTACCCATGTGCTTGCCACTAGGCATGCACACCAGTGGGTGAGTAGTAGGAAGGAGGGTCTCAGCTCTTAGGTTTCTACAATGTGATTCCCTTGAGGACCAGGGGGGCATCACGATGACCCACTGCAATTCAAATTCACTTTTATTCAAGTGTCATCCCAGTTACCCTTGCACAAAGGTGACAGGAAGAGTAGCTATTGCTTAGCTGAGCTGTGACACTCAAACCTCCTGTGGCGTGGCCTGGAGAACAGTCATCAACCAAGGAGCCTGAATCCCGCACTCTTCCCTACTGAAGCATGGTTAACTGATGGATACAAGAACGCGAGAAGCTGCGGCAGTGGATGCTGCTCCCTATGTGTCTCCAGGACACAGAAGGTGGGGGAGCAAACACGCGTTTCAGGAATGAAAACCCAGCCTCTCACAACAGAACCTCCAGACACACAGAGGGACCTTAGAGAAAACACAGGAACTGTTGGTCCAACGAAACACCCACATTTTGAAGCAAACATGTCTATTTGGGGAGAAAATACACCCTGGGGGGTAAACGTTACACAACAAAGACAAACTGTCACCTGGGACAATGCTCTGGACAAAACTATATGCCTGTATGGGGCACAGAACATGAGATTAGCCAGATTGAGCTAGTCTCTGATCTGAAAACTGTCCATCGACAATTTGGAAAGTCCCGGTGGAGGGAAATGGGAAGGATGGGAGGAGTGTTCAAAAAAAAAAAAAAACAAACCACAAAGTCTCTGCCTCACTCCACCATTACCACAAAAGAATATAGAGAAACCGAGGGGGGCAGGAAAGCATCGGGAATAAGACAGGACAGGCAGGATCCCTGAAATAACTGGAACGTACAATAAAGATGACTGCTCAGACATTCTGAGGCATGGTCCTCAACTTTTCAATGTGGCTCTTCTCCTGGAGAGATGCTGGCAGCTTGACAGGCTGAGGAGTCTTTTACCAGTTATACCTGAAATGGCTGTCCCTGCTATTCTAGATAAAATAAATAAATGTATGCCTGTGCCCCAAATAGGCAATGACCACCTAGGAGCCCTACAATAGAAACCAAGAGAAATATAACACTCAGTAGCAGGCTTTGTGTTTTGGTCTTATTCAGTGTCCAGACCTGTTACCAAAGAAGAAATGGAAACCTAAGGGTCGCCTTGAAGCAAAGCCAGAGGCCTTTTGGCAGCAAACTCCCCATCTGGGCTGGGAAAAATCTGCATCACCTGGAATCCAGCCCAGGCACTCCCCGGTCCCGCCCTGCTCGGAGGCACCCCAGTTTTCTTCCCTTCTGTCTTCCTAGTCCCCTGGGTCACTTTCATGACAGTTTGTTTCCATGTATTAAAGGAATGACATATACAGAAATGTCATCTCCTGAGCCCAGTCGGTCATTCGATATCCGCCATCCTCTGTCCTTCAGGACGCCTCGGGCACGCATCACCAGGTCCTGAGCTGCCAGTGTGTACCTGTGTAGGAAAAAACCAGGGAAAAGACCATCAGAACGGCAAGGGCAGGGACAAGGGCCAGAGAGACCGGAAAGGAAGCATCACTATGGTCAATACATCTTCCAATTACCTTTACAATTAACAACTATAACAACAACAACTTCTTCTACTACTACTACAGCAAGAGTCATCTTCTTCACAAATGTACGAGGCCTGATGTGCTTTTTGGGTGGTGGATGAACAAGCTACCACATCAAATGGCCTCCAATATCATCCCACCACTCAACCTCTCTAGAAGTTATTTATTGCAGTGGATCTAGACAAATCCCAGTCTGGTGTTATTGTATCTTTAACAAAGATCCACACAGACCCAGTCTTCCGTGACGGACAGTATTTGGCTAAATAAGTACACGAGGGAAAAATAAAAAAAACCCGAAACTTCTGTCGTCAATATGTTTATTGTTTTAGGATTCTCTTCCTTCTGCATCAAAGGGTCGTGGTTTGTTTTACATGAATGGTTCTGTTAAACCTTCTTGAAAAAAAAAATAGGTTCAGATGTTTAAAGGAAAGTGTTAAAAAAGACCACATGTGGTATAGGAAAATAACACGGGGACGAAGGGTAGGCGGGTGTGAGTGAAGGATAAGTCCTGCGGTGGGTGAGTTTCCCTATACGCCTTTATTGATGTTCCACTTCCTATAGCTCATGTCAGGACAGTGAGGGGTCACTTTCATGGAGATTTACACTGTAAACTTGAAGGAAAGGGGCGATCCTGAACTAGCAGAAAGGCTACCATCTAGAGAAGAAACTGCAACGTGAGGGGTGATTTGTGGCCATGGACTTCATTTAGGTGTGAGACATAAAAATGAAATAAAACTCTGGAAGGTTCCTCCTCCTCAACGATCGGTCTGTGCAGTCTTAGCTAAGGGACTTCAAAGAAGTCCAGCAGGGTTGGACTTAGTGTGGGGTGGATTATTTTCTAAGCCTTTGCCAGGAAACAAGTGATTCATCTTTTCTTTTTTTTTTTCTGAATTCACATTCGCCAAATAACCTGATTATGATCTGTCTCCCTGTGTAGGCTTGCCTACCAGGAAAGAATATGCTATCCTTTGTGCTTTGAAAGTATCAGTCAGCTACATTTCTCTGTATAAACGTCAGCTAGCACTCTGGGGTTTGTAAGCTTGGTTCAGGTAAGCCTGGGTCGGATAATGAATCTGTTATTTGTACTGTGATGAAATCACATTTGGAACCTAAACAACTAAGACTCAGATTCTGATAAATCACCAGGAAACTAAGTGTCACCTCTGTAAGGCCTCTGGGAAGCTTGACAACGGAGCTTTTACAAGGCGCTCATGACCTTTGTCCTGCTCAGAGCACCTCAGCATTACCTTTGGAATCTCACGGGACAGATGCCTCTCCGTGTGGCTCCAGACCTCCCAAGAATGTACAAGTGCTCAGGTCAAAACAGACTTTATTTGAAGAACGAGAGCTGCAGTGACCCATCAGGGCTGGGGACATTGCAAGCTGTACAGCTTCTAAGAATTAAGTCTATTCCTATAGCCCTGGTGGCCAACATCGTGGGTTAGATACCACATTGCATTTAATACAAATGAATGTCTCCTTCCCGTTCATGGGAGGCTCGTGGGTGGGAGAGACACCTTCTTTTTCTAACTCCATTGAGAGGAGTATTGGCTTGGTAAAGAATCTGTTACACCTGAGCAAACAGTAGTAAGTCTCTTCTTGTGATCAAGAAATAGAGGACTAGAGAGACGGTTCAGAGAATCTGCTTAGGAGCACTTGTTGCTTTCGAGGAGGACTCAGGTTGAGTTCCCAGCACCCACATGGTGGTTTACACCATCTGTAACTCCAGTTCCAGGGGATCTGATCCCCTCTCATGACCTCTGTGGGCACCAAGCAGGCAAGTGATACATAAACATTTACATAGGCAAAATGTCTATATACATACAAATAAAATAAATATTAAAAAAAGACAATGGCATCCAAGGAGGTTTTAGGCTGAAGAACTAGGAATATATATATATATATGTGTGTGTGTGTGTGCGTGTGTGTGTGTGTACTATGAACATATATATGAATAACTCAATCCCACACTGTACAGCACACTCCAGACTCACAGAAGCTCCTAAGGGGCTTGTCTGAGGTCATTCTTGGTTTTATACTATATTGTATATGTAAAATGTAACCAGAGTAGTAATAGTGTTGCCACCAGCAACATTCAGGTGACATTTATCTACCCAGTGATTGACCATCTCTGGACCTTAACTTTGAAGATTCTGAAACTTCACTGATGATGGTGGGGGCGCACACTGTTAATCCAAGCGTTTGAGGCAGAGGCAGGTGGATCTTTGAGTTTGAGAGTATCCTGGACTACAAAGTAAGCTCCAGGACAGCCAGGGCTACACAGAGAAATGCTGTCTCAAGAAAGGAAGAAAAAAATCTACTGACTCAGATATTCTTTCATTAGAGTTTAATATGCCTTAAACCAGCCTGAGAGGAGAGGAAGCATGGGCATGGTGAATTGGGAAAACATGGCTGACAAGAAATGGCACATGCATATTTTAAAAGTCAGGAAAGGAAGTTCTGACAAGCCCAGACATGGCTCTTAATGGCTAGCTGGTCATGAGGCAAACAAGCCTGATTGGGTCTGGCAGTCCGAAGAAATGGCTGGGGACCAGGTCAAGATCAGTCAGAAAAGCACAGAGGCAGGGGGACAGCTCCACGCTACTCATGACTTTGGGTTTTTCACTGTTAGTTTTTGGGGACAGAGTCTTGTGCTACAGGCTACAGTTCTACTGCCTCAGCCTCTGAGATACCGGGATCACAGGCATGTACCTTCTCGCCTGGCATTTCTACTATTTTTAAATGGTCAGAGTTAGCCTCAAAAAATTATTTTTGTATGTACACACACACACACACACACACACACACACACATACACAGAGAGAGAGAGAGAGAGAGAGAGAGAGAGAGACAGAGACAGAGAGACAGAGAGACACAGAGAGAAAGAGAGACAGAGAGACACACAGATAGACAGACAGACAGACAGACAGACAAAGAATTTCATACATGTACACAGGAGAGCTTTGGCATTTTAAAAGTTGAATCCTAGGCCACCTGAGACAATGGCTCCTTATGAAACTTACATCCTAAGGGTTCCATCTCAACAAGGTTTTACTTTTTAAATATACTTGTCACTTACTGTGTGATAAATTCCTTGAGGATTCACTATCCATCTGTTTGTTCTTCCTTAGGTTTTAATTATGAGCTAGCCTTTAACGACCACACCTCTCTCCAGCCCTTCTTCTGGGCTTTGAGCTTAGACAGTCTCTAACCCAGGCTGAACTAGAACTGGAATACGCCCTTAATCCTCTGATTCTCCTGCCTCTACCTCCAGAGTCCTAGGATCCTGTGTGCCACCATGCCCCATTTTATGTGGTCCTGGAGACGGAAGGCTGGGCTTTGTGTATGCTAGAGCAGTATGCTGCTAACAGAGCTATGTCCCAGGATCTAAACTTCCTGATACAGAAGTCCACTCTTGTCCTCCCCCCACCCCCTAATTTCTTCCTTTTCATTTAAATCCCCTGGCCTCTTACCAGGAGGCCTATTACCCTCCCCCTTCCCCCATCTATCCTCTGACAGCCCAATCCCAAGGCAACTTCTCTATATGCATTCTGCTCAGCTTATCCTGTGGACTGTGTCCTTTAACCTCGGAGTCTCCTCTTGAATGTCCTTCTCTTTTCCTGGTATCCATGCATGCTACATCTGTGTTCACAGTGTCTCAGTTTCCACAGCACGTGGTGCCTGTCCTCTCTGATGTTCCTTAATTTTCTTTGTAGGCTCTGTTCATTACTTGGGAAGAACTCAGCAAGTGTTCGGCTGTTCTCACTCCTGGTGTGTCACCTTCCCACCAACCATCCCTAAATGACGAAATTCTAACCCTAGAAACAGGAAATCACAGCCTTCGATGCCGCCTTCTCACCTTGGTGATACTCAATTACAAAGCAAATAGGACATCTAAGTCCCCTCGACATAAGTATATTACGTCTTTGATGGTACATGGCTAATTAAAAGAAAACTCAACCTTAGTCACTAGAGTTGCAGTTATTATAAAATGGTGTATATGAGCTTTTATTCTCACTGTAACACACAGACACAGACAGACAGGCACAAACAAACACACAGACATACACACAGACACACACACAAACACACACAAACACACAGACATGCACACATAGACACACACAGACACA